TGTGTTGTTTTAAATCATATGTTACTCTAAACCATGTATCTTCGTAAATCATGTATTGCTTAAAATCATGCATTACTGTAACTATGCCCGGTAAGACGTCAACATACATCCGGTAAAGCCAAGACCTAAAAGGCTGTCCATTTGGAAAATACCTACCCAGGTTAACGTTTACCAATAGAACCAAGGTAGCTTTAAGCAGCGAATTGATTATGACTATGGTGAGAGAGAGAGACAGCGGACACCAGAAAGGAAGTTCACTTATACAACCCTGAACTATGAAACCAAAAAAATGCCGATTATCAATTGCGTTAATAAAGTCAGAACTTTGCGTAATGAAACATCTATGACGTTGCAAAGTCAGGGTAGAAAACGTCAGACTTTGATACGAATTACCATTACTGTAATGCATATATATTTTTTTTGTTTTGCTCATATCTACCTAATGCACAAACTATAATGTATGTTTTCAGCTTCCAATGTGCTTCCAATGTTATTCTATAATTATTATCATTGCATTTATATGGACAGATACATAGAGATATGTGCCAACAGACAAACGTTTTTATGCAAGTTTAGGCGTGTGTACAAACTTGAAATGCATTATATTTAATATGTGTCAGTGTGTATATTTAAATATATATTCCTATAGATGTTTTAACTTTTGATATAAGGCTTTTTGTATTTAATTTAGCCTGATACACGTTCGATATATTTTAAGTGTGTTATTTTCCTAACCACACTTGAAATGTAAATAAAACCTGAAGACTGATATTCAAATAAGAAATACAAACACACATACATACACGGAAATTGTAAACAGTGTTGATCTAGAAATTATAATTAAAAATGAATCTATAAGACCATGATAACTGACAGTTATCAACATCTATTGTGATATAGATTAACATATCACTGTACTTTGCATTACAAACTAAAAATTGTAGTTAAGGTTTTTCTTACAATTTTTGTAAGGAAAAAAAGTAAAATCAGAAGTGTGTGTGTGTGTGTGTGTGTGTGTGTGTGTGTGTGTGTGTGTACGTGTGTGTGTGTGTGTGTGTGTATGTGATTATATATATATATATATATATATATATATATATATATATATATATATATATATATATGTATGTATGTATTTATGTGTATATATGTGTATATATATATGCATATATATATATACATATATATACATATATATACATATATATATGTATGTGTGTGTGTGTGTGTGTGTGTGTTTATATATATATATATATATATATATATATATATATATATATATATATATATATATATATATATATATATATATATATTCGCATATATAACCTTTAAAGCTTCACTAAATTACTTTATTTTTCTCTCTATTTTTCGGCTAATGCAAAGGCAAGTTCCACCATTCTTCTTCTTCTAAATATAAGCTTTAGCATCATAATATAAAAGTAAAAATAAATATAAATAAATTGATAAAAGAAATTAGAAGCAGTCAGAAAAAGTTGAGTTACCCTTTTATTTTTTTTACAGAAAATGTAAATATTCCACATCACAGAAAACTAAATGCTAAAGTAGTAGCTATTATATATGTTGATATGCTTGTGTATACACACACACACACACACACACGTCTGTGTGTGTGTGTGTGTGTGTGTGTGTGTGTGTGTGTGTGTGTGTGTGTGTGTGTGTGTGTGTGTGTGTGTGTGTATGTGTGTGTATGTGTGTGTGTGTGTGTGTGTGCGTGTGTATGTGTGTGTGTGTGTGTGTGTGTGTGTGTGTGTGTGTGTGTGTGTGTGTGTGTGTGTGTGTGTGTGTGTGTGCGTGTGTGTGTGTGCGTGTGTGTGTCTGTGTTTGTGTGTCTGTGTTTGTGTGTATGTTTGTGTGTCTGTATGTGTAAAGCAAGTCCAAATCACCGGCAATTTAGTACAGTCACAGATCAAGCCAACTCATATCACATGTGAACACAACCAAATTTCCATTACATCGAGAAGTTTTGTTCGTCTGATGTTGCCGGGGCGGGTATTCCCTTTTCATGACGACCCAGCGAGATGATAGACTTCTGGAGGCGAGATCTGAGGTAAAAAGTACTATAACTGTTATTAAACTGTAAACTACAAGCAAATATGAAATCATCTGAGATAGGAGAGCGGGGCCTCCAGTGATCTGCGTGGTTTAAAATCACTTGGGGAAAGGAAGAGGTACCAGAAGTAAACAAGAAAAAAAGGACAAAAAGTTCGCAAAGCAAGTCGAGACAAGACAAAGAATACACAAACAAATATATAAAATTATTGATGAAAGGGGAGTGAGCCATCCGTTGGACCAGCTCTTTAAAATCTGTAGTAGCATGCTATTCTCGACTCTATGGCCTCGTACTCGTACTCGTCCCAACGTGAGTCTTGCGTACGGGCGAAATTTTTGCTCGTTACAGATAAATTACCAAGGAGTCTTTATTTTCCTAAACCTCTGCTGAATTATCACGTATCTGGATTTCGAATCTTTGCCTACGTTGCACCTGCAATACGCCTGCAAAATTCACGTTGTGTCGCTTTTAAGGGGCGGTCACACGAGCTTTTTTTTCAAACGATGAATTGGCGGTAACTTTAACTTTTCCCCGTCCGCGATTAGAAGCAGACGATATGTATCGTACGGGAACAGGCGAAGCGGGCATGGCAATAGATTCCGTAGTCTGACTACAGACTATGCAAACAGTCCTTCCGCCTGCTGTTAGCCATTCCCCTGTTAACGCGAGAGTTCAGACTTGTTTCCGTTCCCGACGTGCCTTATACTGGGATTCTGAAATGACACTAGCACCAAGGCAGTAGAGAGAAGTAGAACATCGGCATATTTGCTCCGAAAATCCGCCATCACTTCGCCATCATCACCACTGCAGGTACATTCAGCGCCTCTTTTGACCCTTGTGCTAGCTCGGTCACTTTGATATTTCAGAACTTACTTACTGTGAGCCTTAGTGACCTTAAAATGTTTGTAATTTGTAGTTGCTACGTTATGCAGTGCTTTACTATGATTGTAATTATTGCTGTAACTTTACTGTGTAATTAATATTTCTTGATATCCCAATTCGTCTGCTTAATTAAACATACAAAATGTCTTCTTTGGTATTCATTGCCCTGTCTCATAATCAGTGGGTTAATTAAAACATCTGGGGGTTTGAGGAACAAGATTACTTCACGTTCCTTTTGTTATGTGTTATTATGATGTTTGTGAACTTTAACAATTACACGCCATACTTGGATGAAACAGGCCCTATGTAAGTAGTCAGAGGAGAGAAGTGGGCCAACTGATGAATCTTTAATTCGACGGCAAAATAACATCTGTTATCACTGTTATCATGATCATTATCATCAATAGTTAAAATTATGACTGTAAATATTATTGATGCTTTTCATCGTTATAATTAATGTTATTAGTAGAAGTAGTAGTAGCATCATCAGTATCATTACTATTAGTATTATCACTATTATTGTTTTTAAGAATATTGTCATCATCATTATCATTATTATCATCATGGATTCTGCTGATATAGAGTACCATAATCGTGTCACATTTTACACAGAGTTCGGCAGCCCGCATGAGCAGTCGCAGGGAACGTCATAGCCGAAGTGACGAAGGTAGGATAAAGTATTTGCCTAACGTTATTGGCCTTAATAGATAATGATGACCAGATGTAGCCATAATAAATAGTGAATTATGTGTAACGTATTATTTACATGTTGAATCTGCCATGTATTTAAGATTACTAAACTATGATATTCGATGATAATGGTGGTGACTTTGATAATAATGATGAAGGTAATAGCAATGATGATAATCATAGTAATGAGGATGGTGATAATAATTATGGTGATAATTTTAGTGATCACTGTAACGATAATAAGAGTACTGATGATGATAATAGTGATAGTGATTTGAATAACGGTAATGTTTAAATAATAATAGTCCAAATACTGATAATACGATACAAGTGATGAGGGGGATAATAACATCGGTAAGAATGATAATACCATTAGGAATAATGATAGTAGTTGTAACAATAATGATGTTGATAAAGATAACATGGTGTGTCATATCGACTCATACGGTGTCCATTTTATTGTCTCATTTCCCCTTTTTCTCTTCTTTTTTCTTTCTTCTTTCTTTCTTTTCTACTTTGATGCGAAGAACTAAAAAATGAGAAAGAGAATAAACTCGCCTTGGAGTCGTTTTAAAAAGGTCTGGATCCGGTGCTTGAGCCAAGTATATAGATTATGGCGTCTGATCATGCGGTATCAAATCCTATCCATAAAGAATGTCAGACAGGTATACTTACCAATGTGATTTATACGATGGCACTATCGATCCCAAAGACGATCAGTATGACGTCACACTTTACGACCGCCGGATGGAGGAAGGGCGACGCAACTCGGATTTTTTT